ACCTGAAGAGGGTGGGGGGGAGCTGGTCCCGTCGCAGGAGAAAAGAGAAGAATGCAGACCCTCTGCCCCGGGTTTGAAAGGCCAGGCCTAGGAGCGGAGGAGAGAGAGGAGCGTGGAGACTCAATCTCTGGGGGAAAAAAGGAAGAGGCGGGTGGAGGTGTCGGGAGCAGATAGGAAAGTGTACAGGTCCCAGCCTCAGGGAAAAAGACAGGACATCGCTTTCTCCCAGGACCCCCCAAAATTGTGGGAGGGAGAGGATAGCCAGCCTCTTCTGAGGTAAAGGCATAAAACGGCCCCCATGCCTCCCACCCCTCAGATTCTGGCAAGGTCCCTTCCCCCGCCCGCTCTGCCTTTGTTCCTAGGTCTGAAGGCCACCACCTAACTCACAGCTGGCTCCACAGCCAGTATTTGTCTTCAGGAAGGATGGAGGCAGACCCTAAGCAAAACTGTGAGAGGGAATTTTGTCCTGGGGACTACACAGGCCTCTGCTGTCTTCTCAGGTTTATAGCCTTGGGGTTCTTTTGGGATGCAGGTAAAAGTGAATCATGTCCAGTCAGCTGACCACCCCCTGTCCAGTTTGGATTAGAAGGGAGTGAACAGAGCCTGCTAGAGGTGTAGGCCAAAGCCTGTCAGTACTCTTAAGGTCTTAAAAATCTCCGCATCCATGTCCCTCACTTTAAAGAGAGGTTAGATCCTTTGCCAGATCAGCGCCGGTCAAACTAGACTTGGCCAGCAACAGGAAAGGGGTGCCAGGCAGCAGGCCCTGTGTGAGCTCTCAAGACTCTGTGTCAATGCACACATTGAGTGTTGCTGCCCTCCACACTACCCAACTCATCCCCAGAAGACTCCCAGAAAATGGCTTTTCTTCCTAGACTGTTTCATACGGGAAATCTAAAGCGGGTATAGAGTCTTCACTGGGAGCCAAGCATTTTGGCCACATAGTGGAAATTTAGAAGCTGCCAGGAACAGCTCCCAATGCCCATCTTTTCCTCTTCCCTGCACCAAGCTGCAGTCAGGAAGTCAAACTTGCTGTGGCCCTGACCTGTTCTGGTTGGAAGAATCACGTTAGTGTTCATCATGTCCTAAGGAAAACCTAGAAAATTGTCCCCTCTGGCCTCTGCTTTTCGTCTCCTTAATGAGAGATTCTAGGGAAACAGGCAAGAGTATCTGACAGTAGAGTATCTGTCCCCCTCACAGAAAGGGTATTCTGATATCAGTTCTGTTAAGGGGGGCAGACATTATGGAGAAAGAGAAACAAGGATGGGCTTATTTACTTAGGGCTTTTGCAGAGATAGTATTACAGTCTTCTTGGAGAAAGACA